TGCTCAGCACAAACTCTTCCACTGGACTATATACCCAGACCTAGACTCTTACAACTCTAATTTCTTTTTAAAAGTCAAAATGGTTGATTTATACTACTTAGATACAATCGTAAATGATAAAATTTAGAACCTAGTAAAAATGATCCTCTCTTCCACTAACCACAAATAGAGTATAGATAAATTTTTAAAAGATTTATTTTTATTTGTATGTGTATGAGTGTTTTGCCTGCATGCATACCTTTGTGCCATGTGTATGACTGGTGCTTGCAGAGAACAGGGGAGGTGGGGGATGGAGGTGCTGACAACCTAATCTGGGTCCTCTGGAAGAGTAATATGGATTCTTAACTGCTGAGACAGCAACCACCAGCATAAATTTTTAAGATGAAAAAATTCCTAACCAAGTAATAAATCTTACTAATGTGAAAACATGGCCAAGTTAATGATAAAGAAACTTGATTCCAGGAAGTCTCAATTGAACTGCTCTGTTATAAATGGCTAAGCTTGTTAAGACAAATTATCCTTTCCCAACAAAACAACCAAATTTATTTCCCAGGTTACTTGATGTCCCTATAAGAAGAGTTCTCTCTTTTTTTAAGACAGACTTCTGCTGACAATTAAATCAAGATATAAATGGCCTCAATCACTTATAAACAAATTCAGGACAACTGCTACAAGCTGAATATCCCTAACTTTGAAAATGCTCCAAACTACTAAACTCTTTTGAGTACAGACATAATGCTACCAAAAGTGGAAAATTCTATACCCGAACTCATTTGACTGTATCCAAAATGCAGTTCCATTAAAAATGTTGTGTAAAATTATGTTCAGAATGTGTGTTTTAAGATGCATGTGAAACAAATGAATTTTATATTCAGGTATGGGTCCCATATCTGTTTTTATACATGCAAATATTTCTAATCTAAAAAAAATTAGATCCAAGCATTTCAAGTAATTAGTACTCAACCTGATCACCAGGCTATGAGATGACTAGCAAGGCTCAAGGAAAATAAACTTTCCTTCATAGCCCACTCCAGGTGCCTACTTGGAGAGGTCAGGACAGGAACAACCCTGATGAACTACTTGGCTCTCACCTCCAAAAGACGCAGTTTGCTCAGGACGGGCATAAATCAGACAAGCAACTCTCCCCCTTTAATACCTACCACAAACAGAGGAATGTCCCTGAGAACAGGGTTCTTCCAATTTTTCTGTTAGATTCCTTTGGTTAGTTTAGTGAGGCTTTTAAGAAAGAAATGTAGTGTTTAGATGCCTGAGATTTTTGTATTTAACTGGTACTCCATCTGAACAAAGCTTTAACACAGCAGATCATAATGCATTTATAAGATAAGCCAAACATTCCATCTCAACTCAGGCTGACAATCAATTTCTTACAAGTAAATCTTCTCCAAAAATTACTTTCAAACTATTGTTTGGAATACTATTTTTAAATATTAAGATATATAATTCACAAAATAAAACACTTGCTATTTTAAAGACTATGAAAAGGCTTATGACATTAGAAATCATTAAACGTCAAAAAAAAAAAAAAAAAAAACCAAAACAGGTCCAAAGAAAATTTACTGGTCTCAGAGTATCCTGAAACTCACTGAAATAATATCTACTACTATCCTCGTATAGCCAAATAGGCACAGGTGGAATATAACCTTAGAGTGAAGCAAAAAAAAAAAAAAAAATTCAAACTGAAAAGTCATAAAATTAGCCTTCTCTGACTGATTATTTGAAGTTTTTAAGTCAATAATAGTTCCTGTACCTAAAACATAAACATATTTTACACTATCAAATTATACTAATAAATTAAAACTACCACAGATTACCATGTAATCTGAAACATTTCATAACTTTAGGTAAAAGAAAAACACCAAGGAATAACATCATCTTATTTTTATCCTGTATGTCCTGTATGTATGTAAACGCCTATATGTACAACTCTGTCTGTGTGCTCAGGTCAGAGGTTGACACTGGTCTTCCTCTATCACTCTCCACCTTACTTGTTTGAGAAAGGGTCATCTCTCACTGAATCGGAAACTTGTGCTTCCAGCTACACTGGAAGGTCAACTAGTCCCTGGGATCCTCATGTGCCACTACTCCTGTGCCACAGTGCTGGGGATATCGGCACATACTTGCTGTGTGGATGACTGATTGATAAATAAAGTGCTGATTGACCAGTAACCAGGCAGGAAGTATAGGCGGGACAAGGAGAGAGGAGAATTCTGGGAAGTGAAAGGCTGAGGCAGAGAGCCGCCGCCATGAAAAGCGAGATGTAAAGTACTGGTAAGTCACGAGACATGTGGCAACTTATAAACTAATAGAAATGGGTTAATTTAAGATGTAAGAACTAGATAACAAGAAGCCTGAGCCATTAGGCCAAACAGTTTAAATAATATAAGTGTCTGTGTGTTTATTTTATAAGTGGACTTATTTTATAAGTGGCTTGGTGGGACCTGGAGAGAAACTCTCCAGCTACACATACTGTCTGGCTTTTATGTAGGTATGGGGGGGTCCAAAGTCAGGTCCTCATGTTGTGCAGAAAGCACTTTACTCAAGGAGCCATGTTCCCAGCCTTGGTTCTAAAGACAGAATACACACATTTTGCACTGTGCATGCCATTAGTTCATGCAATACCAATGAATGCTGCATGAAATACCTCAGGGAAGATTAAAATCTACAGTTAGGAACTGCAGTGCTTTTACTGTATGAACAAAGTTTACTGCTCTTATAGAAACATATGCATAACAAAGACAATTATTTTCCTAGTGTCATTCCTCAGTATGTAAGACTTAATTCTATCTCTATTATATTTTCTTAGAATGTTTGATTTTAGAAACTGCTTGAGTTTCATTTAAAAAAAAGGAGGGGGGGTGCCTAGAGAGATGATGGATCAGCAATTAAAAGCACTGCCTGCCCTTCCAGAGGACCCAGATTTAATTCCCAGTACCCATATATTGGCTTGCAACCAGTTACAACTCCATTCCCAAGGGATCTAATGGCCTCTTCTGGCCTCCAGAGGCACTGCATGCATGTGATGAACATACATGCATGCAAGCAAAACACCCTTACACATAAAAATAAAGTTTTAACTGATGAATAAATTCTGGCTTGAAATTGGGACAGGGTTTCCAACAATTTATGAAACGCCCAAAATTCTTCTACCATTTTGTACTATGTATTTAAATAAAACAGCATTCTCTGCATTGATGATTATACAATTAAAATATCAACCAGCCCTGAAAAACATGAAAGATATTCTATTTAGACAATATTTAATTCTTGTTGTGTACATACATATGTATGCCCACATGTACACATGCACATTCCTGAAGAGGCCAGAGATTAACTCTGGATGTCTTCAATAATCTAACAGATTATTGTTCAGAGACAAGATCCACAAAATCCTGCCACTGAAGTTCTCTCCCAAGTGTCCTTGCTTCGCACCTTACATAATTTCCTACAATACCTTATAATCATCCAACAAAGCCTTCTTTTGGCAAGATTATCCGGAAGTGTATATCTGCAACTAAAACTACTTTCAAAAATAGAATAAATGTATAAACTGAAGAAAGGTATACTAAAAAGCACAAGTTATGAATTACCAAAACTCCATCCCCCATTAGCTCAGTTTAAGACATTTATACTCCATCTATAAACTAATGCTGTCTGAGTAACAACTAATGGGTCTAAAAACCACTTTTAACATTAGAGTCACTCTTTCTTTCATTTGTTTTCTAGCAAGTATTCTCAAATATAACAGCCATTATTTTGTCTTTACATACTCAGTAAGTAATGAAGGGCTACTATGTGACAGTATTATAGAGTGACTAGTAAAATTATGGCAGTGAATTAAAAAAGATAAGATTCTTGTTTTATGTATAATATATTATCGTAGGGAAGCAGTTCTCAACCTTCCTAATGCTTTGACCCTTTAATACAGTTCCTCATGCTGTGGTGACCCCAAACATAAAGTTATTTTTGTTGTTATTTCGTAACTATAATTTTGCTACTGTTATTAATCATAAATACCTGATAGGCAGGATATCTGATATGTGATCCCTGTGAAAGGGTCATCTAACAGTCCCCCACCCCTGCTGTGCTAGGTAGAAAGAAAACTAAAACATTAGATAACAGTACTATAGAGGTGGAGTGTGGGAGGTTAAGGTTTGGGGGAGGGGTGGAAATGGACAGAACCAGGTGGCTTTTACGAAAACTGGTTAGGAAAAGCCTTGCTAATAGGATATTTAAACTCAATCACACTTAAGGAAAAAGCATCAGCCAGTCACAGTGAACAGTGTATAAATGACACAAAGATCTTGAAGCTGGGAATAGATTTGACTTATTCTCAAAGTCAAAGGAAGGCCAATGTGATTACACTGGAGAGAAGTGGGAAAATCATTTAAGATGTGGGCAGAGAAATAGAATCAATCGTATCACAGAGGGTTTTGTAAAAAAAAAAAAAAAAGAAAAGAAAAGAAAAGAAAAAAGGCAGAGCCAGTGGTATAAGAGGAGACTAATTCCACAAAGATACTAGAGACTGGTTCACCAACTGACTAAGTAAGAAAGACTGGGGGAAAGGAGGAATCAGATTGAAAAAGTCCTTTTCATAGAAACTTCAGAGAGCTGGAAGCAACCATGAAGCCCAGTACTCTCATTTATACAAAGAATGACATGGTCCAAGCTGGGGATGTTCTGTGATCAGACTGAAGACCACCAGAGCTGCATGTAATCTTTAACAATCAGGACAAAAGTCTTCCCACAATTCTTGACCTCATTCTGAAATCCCAAAGTCTTTACCATGAGTTATTTCCCAAAGTGACATAGCAAAAATCAAAAGAAATATACTTTAAAGAGAAAAAGTTTAATTAGCCACATAAAATTATTCCCATTTCCAATTTCATACATAACTTTTTTAAAGCAGCTGATAGTATAAGTTATTTCATTGCATATTGTGTAAAGCAGAAAAAAATGAGCAAAACAACAAATATACTTACATCTGGGTATTCTTTTACAGGCACATAAAGTTTCTCTTGTAACTGAACAATAGGTCCCACGGCATCAGGCAATTCTGCACTCCTTTTCTCTGTACTGCCATTTAATGTGTCATTGTACATGTCTTTCCGTACTCTGCTAATTTCTGTTAAAAGTAAAAATTTTAAATGTGTTAGACAAAAAACAGTCTTGCTAATCCAGGAAAGGGGGGAGGAGGCTGTGTGCTTCACTGATAAAATGTTAACTCCAGTGAATAACTGTTGACCTATCCTGTTATTCTCTGGATTCAGCCTGTTTACAAGATGACAGCCTTCATTTCTACCATAAATCAAATTTACACCAACCAAATTACACATCTTATTAAAACATACTTCAGAGCAGAGACTCTCACTGTAATCATATAGATTTTAGTTGAGCTAAAATGTTCATGCTTAAAAATGAGGCCAGTCATTTTAAATGATAGCTTTATTTGTCATAAAAATACATAAGACAAAATACTAAAAGCTCTTTTATTCCTCATAAATAATCTGTCTCTATAAGATTTAAACTGGAGCCAGACGGTGGTGGCGCATGCCTTTAATCCCAGCACTCGGGAGGCAGAGGCAGGTGGATCTCTGTGAGTTCGAGGCCAGCCTGGTCTACAGAACAAGATCCAGGATAGGCTCCAAAGCTACAGAGAGAAACCCTGTCTCCAAAAAAAACCAAAAAACAAAATACAACAACAACAAAAAGATTTAAACTGGACACCACTTAACTGGATAGTTTAGGTAACACATTCATGATGCTCACCAGACAACATATACCAAGTTCAGCCCAAGTCTGAGTGAGTGTGCAAATGACAGAACTAAATGAACCCTAACTAAAGCAACATTCCAGGGAAGAGGACAACAGCACCTAAACACCACCACAAGAAGAGCTGCCAAGAACTCGGGGAGACAAATTCCTAGTACGTCAGTGATCAAGACGCTACAAAAACTGCTAAGTCAGAGGATGGTGACCTGGACTAGACCACCTTAACAGAAAACAAACCACACTGGTTTATGGATATACATACAAAAAGCAAAGATAACCAAAATCAATGTTCTGTACACAAAAAATCTGTATTATAATTCTCAGGTAAAAATATATTAATGAAAATTATGAAAGTTATATTTTAATGAATCCCTCTAAGTTATTTTTATACTTCATGACCCCTTGGGGGGTTGTGCATTAGATATCCTGAATATCAGATATTTACATTACGATTCATAACAATAGCAAAATTACAGTTATGAAGTAGCAATGAAATATTTTATGGCTGGGGGTCACCACAGCATGAGGAACTGTATTAAAGGGTCGTAGCATTAGCAAGGTTGAGAACCACTGATGTAGATGAGTTAGTGGTTAAGAAAGAGTAGACTGTAACCTCCAGTTCTATCTTCTTCTGACCTCCTCAGGCACCAAGTATATATATCGTATACTAGCATAAAGGCAGACAAAACACCCATACACATAATCTTTTTTTAAATGGAAAATTTAATCAATTTAAAACACACACAAAGGGGGGGAGTGCTCAGTGGTTAAGAGCATGTACTCTTACTTATAAAGGACCTGAGTTCAGTACCCAGCATACATATATCAGGCACCTCACAACATGTACCTCCAGTTCCAAGGAAATAAACACCCCTGGCATCCAGGCACCTGCACTCAAGTGCATACTAACATGCAGACACATTCACATAATTAAAACTAAATCTTAAAAGTATGTATACAATTTATATACCAATATAGGTGGGAAAGCTGTAAGTAGGGTTGACATTTTAAAAAGAAAAATAGCAACTGAAACAAAGTGAAAGGCTGGGGGATGTAAGTCAGTGATGAAGGCCCTTGGTTCAACTCTCAGCACTGAGGCATGACAAAATGGAGAGTGAGGAAATGGTACTTACTGCTATAAATGGAAAAGCAGTTCCAAATAATCCAAAAAAGACAGCACCAAAACACAGGGGAAAATTGGAGAAGTGGAAGAAAAGTAGAGTGCTTATACCGTATGTGCAAAGCCCTAGATTCAATCTCAGGGGAGGGGAGCTTGCTATTATAAATGAAAGAATAGGTCAGTATTTAAAAAAATTTTATTTTGAAATAATATTATATTAATTCTTTGAGAATTTCATACAACTCATATTCCCATATACTCCTTCCTCCCAGATCCAACCTTTCCAGCCTCAGCTCCCTATCCACCCAACTTCTAGGTTTCTTTTATTCTTTTTAACCCATCAAGTACAACTACTTCTTGGGAGCGAGTCTGTCCTGGTGAGTGACTGCTATTAGATGCTAAACAGGTCCTTAGCTTGTAGTAGCATTTCCCTCCATTTCCTCCTCCATTCTGGAATTCTATTTGGCTTAAGCTGTCACCACAGCTCTACGTTCCTATGAGCAATGACTGTTGTGACAGCTTAAAGAAAACCCTCTTTCCTCGATGGTATCTTTCTCCCCCTCCCCCCAACTCCCCCTCCCCCCCCTCCCCCGCCCCGCTGCCCTTCAGCCTTGGGGATATGCACATCCCATCTGGGGTTGACCACTCCACAGGCTCTTATTCTCTGTGCAGTAAACCAGTTGAGGGTTTCTGTATTGTTGACTTCCATCTACTGCAAAATAACTTCTCTGAAGATAGTTTGAAGAAACAATTGTAATAGATCAGGAAAAAAAAAAAAAAACATGACTTTTCCAGGTAAACACACTTAGAAAAATAAAGAGAAACAACTGTATATGATTAGAAAAATTCAGGTAAGATGGCATTAAAATATTCATATAAATAAAACAAATGTTATACAGACCATCATCCAATTAGGTGATATATAGCATCTACCTCTTAACTTGTATTTCTATATATAACTGCACAATTCTTTGATCAACAACTGAAAGTTTTACAAGTTCCTGCCACCCACTGTGTCTCAAACTCCCAGAATACTGCCTGAACATAGTGGGTCTTCAATAAGGACTAAGTGTGTTGAATACATGGGTGGGAAAAATGAAGGGAAGAACAGACTAGGCTAAAGTTAAAATTAAAGCTGCACAAATCATGGTCCTAAGCTTCTATAGAACTTAAGTCTAAAGTAAGTGTTGCACTCTGACTTTTCAGTCTTAAAAATTTATCACTCTAATAACAGTATACAAATTATATACAAGAATAGTACTGACAGAAATGTAAGAAATAACAAACACATTTGCAGTCCTCCAGATTACGAACTAATTCATTGCTGAATTTCAGCAGGTGAGTGAATACTAGCCAGAAAAGCCTGAGCAACTGGGGATATAGTATTCGTAAAGCTCCAGCCAGAAAAAGTTCTGATTCCAGTTCTAACAGTAACTCTAATTTGGGATGTCTCTGATTCAATCGCTCTGTACTGGTGCCTCATATATTACAACTCATTGAATTATTCAACCTAGTATTTTTTCCCAAACCACCATGCTCAAAACTTCATTACCTAAGTCCTAGCAATCAGAGATTCTGCTAATGCTATCCTATCAAGTTGGTGTGATCACACCCAGATCATCACAGAAATATGCAATGGGCTATCCTTGAGGTAGACTCACAGATGTTTCTTTCTTTATAAAACAAATGAATGACTCATACATAACAATTGTGTTGTGCATTCTCGTGTCAGATATTACATAATAATGATGAAATGCTCCACATACATCCACATGATATTCAAGCTACAGCAATGGTTCAGAGAGAACAGAGGGAACAAAGTTCTGTACCATTAGTATTTAAAACTTCTACCTACAATAACTCTTAAATTGGGCATTTATCTTCCAACTAAATAGTCCTATGATTAAGAAAGACAGTTGGTTAAAAAAAATCTCTGGAGTTCTAAGCATTAAATGTGTTTTTCTGAGTTATAACCCTCACTCCTAAAATATGAGCCACTCACTGCCACTTAGGAGCCTCATAAATACTCAGCAAAGTTCTAAGGTGTATCTAAGTACCTGTGAACTACCCAACATGTTTTTATGCCTTTCCACTTGTTTAGAAACACTCCAATTTGTTAAAATTTCTTTAGAAGTATAAAATCACACATGACTTTCCATAACAACAAGTGATAGTATGAAGCAGTTGCCTACTCCCTGCATTAAAGATCGCTAATGCCTTAGCAAACTTAACATATTGTGTGTTGGGGAATATTATTTTAAAGTGTGTTACTTGTTTATGTTGCATTTGTCTAACTCTGTGAAGCTGTGTTACTGAGCCTGTCTAAAACACCTGATGGTCTAATAAAGAACTGAATGACCAATAGTGAGGCAGGAGAAAGGATAGGCAGGGCTAACAGGCAGAACGAATAAATAGGAGGAGAGAGCAAAAGAACAAGGAGAGGAGGATGCTAGGGGCCAGCCACCCAGCCACCCAGCCACCCACAGAGCAAGAGTGAAAATACAGAAGAAGATTTGGGGATTTAGCTCAGTGATAAAGCGCTTTCCTAGCTAGCACAAGGCCCTGGGTTCGGTCCTCACCTGGGGGGCGGGGGGAGATATACAGAAGAAAAGGTAAAAGCCCAGAGGCAAAAGGTAGATGGAATAAGTTAAGGAAAGCTGTAGATGTAACCAACCGTCTTATTAAATAAGAAACACAGAGCCGATTCAGAGAAGAAAGCCAAGAGGTCAGAGCTAAGAGCCTCACCCTTCCTGCTTCAACGATCCTCTTCAGTCAAGAGAGCTCTCCCAAAGGGACCTACTTCCTGTGTGTATGTCTTTATATAGTCTAGCTGTTCTGCCTTCTCATTGGTTGTAAACCCAAACATGTGATTGCCTCGTCACTGCCTGTATGTGCCGCCCTCCAGGTCCTTAAAGGCATTCGCCACCGCCGCCACTCACTTGCTATGGCTCTAATAGCTCTGACCCCCAGGCAACTTTATTAACATACAACTAAAATCACATTTCAGTACAAGTAAACTACCACCACAGAAAGCTGGCAAGAAACAAACCAAGTTAAGGCCAGGCATTTATAATTAAGAATAAGCCTCTGTGTAGAATTTATTTGGGAGCTGGTAGTGGGACCCCAAAAGAGTAAAAACAACCAACAATTGTAGACATGTTGCTAGTGGAGCTGTGGCAAGTCTCTACTGTTCCCTCTCTCCACAACTGTTCATTTAGACAGCAACAATTTAC